ATATTTATTTAAATATCTTTTACTTGATGAAAGTATTTGTCCAGGTTAACCTGATATTGATATTATATTATCCACACATTCATTGATAATCAGTTGTTTTGGCTGGATAAGGTCAAAAGGTCAACCGTGCACAGCATATTAATGGAAAAGTCTCGAAAATCCGTTTCATGTCATTTATTGGTTTATTATACATGTATATATATATATAATTCTATTACAATAATTATTATTATTTTGTTTTATTTACCTTAATAAATCGTTCATTGCGCCAGACATCAGCCCACAAACACATAGGAATAAACTCGCCTGACCTTAGGTTATGAGGCGCAGAAGCCTAGTTGTTGCCCGCCGTGCATTGTGTTCAATGACCTGAGAGTTCGATTCCATGACCTAGATATTGGACAATAGGTGTATTGATCTGTTTACTTACTCGCAGCTTTGACTGCGCTGTGGTTTTCGTTTAAATGTAGGGCACCGCTTACCTCGTGTTTAAGTAAATATTAATATTCTTTACAGCGCGGCTGCACGCATGGCAGCTTTTCATGTCTTTTCATAAACTTTGTGTGGGGCTATTATGACAGCTTTTTCATCACATGTGGTTTTACAGATAACAGTGATTTCGACTGTGATTGGGTATTTTTTTTTACTGTTATCTCCTTATAAACGTAATAACGGGTTCTGTAGGCTATTGTCACGCTACATCGAATACAAGTGTGTGTGTTTGTGTGCGCGTGTGTGTGTGTGTGTGTACAAAATATGTGTATGGTGCTAGGAAAATATATTTGTATGTATTTTTGAGTGTCCAAAATACACCAAAAAAGAAAAAGAAATTACGACAGCCCTTAAAATATACTGCTTATCGAACGATACAATATTACTACACGTAAGTTAAAGTCATAACTATTTGACACAGGCTGGGTAGTTTTCCCCATTAGTCCTATACGTGAACCGAAGGTCGACTTGGTCATACCTAGAGTACGGTGAGGAAATTTTTCTAGCTTGTTATGATTAGCATTCGATACCAAGATAATGACCACTTACATATAATTTCACAGGGATATACTTTCACGCCCGTACCTGGCGGCAATCTCAGAGTCTGCCTCAATGCAGATTCAACATCGCATACATGCGATGCGCTGTTAGGTTTCGGCAGAAAGAACATGTTCTGCCAACAGGCAGCATGACTTAAGGCAGTGGTACTTAAGGTTGAGTTTAGAACACGCCCTAGCTCAGGCTTCATCATCTATAGCCTACTATAAACAGCGGAATTAATATTGTATCAATATATCGAACGCGCACCACCTCGTATGGCCTGCTACCTGACTAAAGGATATTGCGGTCATATAGAAAGAATAACCTCTCTGCATTCTGAGTTTAATGCCTTTTTTGTTTTATGCCTATACTACATAGATGACGCCTCAAGCGATTTTTATACGTTAGCCTCGAGTGCATTCATATCTCAGGTATAGCTCATTGTCGTTCAATACACTGTACGCGTTTAACTACCTCAAAGCAGCGCGATCGATTTGTGTGCTGATCTTAAGTGACACAATACACATTCGTCAAAAAGTTGTTCCACCTCGAATTCAATGTGCTTTTATTTACATAAGACCACCTCACAGGGGTAAATAGTTATAGACAGTTGTTTTTATTCAAGATACCATATTTAACATGATTAATTGTTCAAAAAATACATAATAGCGGTGAGGATGTCCATGTTTCGTTACAAATACACATACCCATATAACATTAAAAATTGAATAAAAGGTTAACAATAGGCGCGAAAGAACTAAGGATCCATGTTGTTTCTTTTGAGTGGCTTACGGAGTACGGAGCCGGTGGCAGCTTAAGTGGGCTTACATTAACGACATTTTTATATCGATACCTGTCTCTACATGCAGTTAAATTTATACTGACAGATTCGTGGCCGAGGGTAGTTTATAACTGTGGGGTTGACGAACAAGCTCCAGGAAGGATAAGCCATTTATCCTGGCGTCGAACGTGACATAAAAATCTTGATTAGCAGGAAAGACAGGTGAGTGAATGAGAGTGCTGTCGCCATAGTATTCACCTTACAAAGATGGCGTAGGTCACCATTTCAGTCTAAATTACTCGCTTTAGATGTCCAATTTGGTTTTAGATAAGACACACCCTTACCAGAAGCACGTCTCGACACATATTTCGTGCGTTTTCGACCACTAATACCCTTGTTAACGAGATATCATTTTTATTCCCGCACTTTTACTAGTATAAAACGTGACCTTTGGGACCGTGTTGTTATCCCGCCCGTCTGTGCGTCTGTCTGTCTGTCTGTCCGTCTGTCCGTCTCATCTTAGTCCATTAGAGTTAGATACGTGGAACTTTGGTATAGTCCATCAGGTAGACCCCTAAATTTTGGTCCGTCGGTACGAACTGGGTGATTATCATGTGTAAGCACATTTAGTCAGGAATCAGTTTTTGTGTGATACAAGTAGCACCTTCTAATCAGTAGACTTCAGTATGTATATGTGTATGGGATTGGCTGTTATACATTTTATTACACCCTGTTGCTTAAATGGCCGCTCCTAAAATGGGATAATGAAATAAGATTAAGCAATAATTAATAAATAATATATCATAATGCAGCTGAAGGGTAGGGTTTAAGAAAGGCAATTACAAAAGGCGGATGGGGGGGGGGGGGTTGAAAATGTGGACCTTTGTCATGAAACCTTGGGTTACCTAGATCAAATTAACCCAGAGTGGACCTTTTCCCAGCAAAAAAAGTGTGTGTGTGTGTGTGTGGGGGGGGGGGGGGGGGGTAGCTTTTCTCTTCAAATAGCATACNAATTTTTATACGTTAGCCTCGAGTGCATTCATATCTCAGGTATAGCTCATTGTCGTTCAATACACTGTACGCGTTTAACTACCTCAAAGCAGCGCGATCGATTTGTGTGCTGATCTTAAGTGACACAATACACATTCGTCAAAAAGTTGTTCCACCTCGAATTCAATGTGCTTTTATTTACATAAGACCACCTCACAGGGGTAAATAGTTATAGACAGTTGTTTTTATTCAAGATACCATATTTAACATGATTAATTGTTAAAAAAATACATAATAGCGGTGAGGATGTCCATGTTTCGTTACAAATACACATACCCATATAACATTAAAAATTGAATAAAAGGTTAACAATAGGCGCGAAAGAACTAAGGATCCATGTTGTTTCTTTTGAGTGGCTTACGGAGTACGGAGCCGGTGGCAGCTTAAGTGGGCTTACATTAACGACATTTTTATATCGATACCTGTCTCTACATGCAGTTAAATTTATACTGACAGATTCGTGGCCGAGACTAGTTTATAACTGTGGGGTTGACGAACAAGCTCCAGGAAGGATAAGCCATTTATCCTGGCGTCGAACGTGACATAAAAATCTTGATTAGCAGGAAAGACAGGTGAGTGAATGAGAGTGCTGTCGCCATAGTATTCACCTTACAAAGATGGCGTAGGTCACCATTTCAGTCTAAATTACTCGCTTTAGATGTCCAATTTGGTTTTAGATAAGACACACCCCTTACCAGAGGCACGTCTCGACACATATTTCGTGCGTTTTCGACCACTAATACCCTTGTTAACGAGATATCATTTTTATTCCCGCACTTTTACTAGTATAAAACGTGACCTGGGGACCGTGTTGTTATCCCGCCCGTCTGTGCGTCTGTCTGTCTGTCCGTCTGTCCGTCTCATCTTAGTCCATTAGAGTTAGATACGTGGAACTTTGGAGTTTAAGAGGTATAGTCCATCAGGTAGACCCATAAATTTTGGTCCGTCGGTACGAACTGGGTGATAATCATGTGTAAGCTCATTTAGCCAGGAATCAGTTTTTGTGTGATACAAGTAGCACCTTCTAATCAGTAGACTTCAGTATGTATATGTGTATGGGATTGGCTGTTATACATTTTATTACACCCTGTTGCTTAAATGGCCGCTCCTAAAATGGGATAATGAAATAAGATTAAGCAATAATTAATAAATAATTGTCATAATGCAGCTGAAGGATAGGATTTAAGAAAGGCAATTACAAAAGGCGGATGGGGGGGGGGGGGTTGAAAATGTGGACCTTTGTCATGAAACCTTGGGTTACCTAGATCAAATTAACCCAGAGTGGACCTTTTCCCAGCAAAAAAAGTGGGGGTGGGGGGGGGGGGTTCTTAAGGGATTGCTGTAATAGGTAAAGTGAAAACATTTTTGTTATTGAATAATATAGCCATTAAATTAGGGTGTCAAACGTCACCTGAGATCAAATTTGTGACATTTTCAGATAATGAACTAGAAAGAACTAAAACCACATCCCAGTGTACCACAAAATTTGATAGTCCCATTCACAACAAGGAAGTCAACGCGATTTGAAAAAATATTGCGTAATTTTTTCAAAGTGGGTTGTAACACTGCTGCCTCGTGGTGTGCTAATCAGTATCAAAAGTAGTTATATGATTTCATATCACGCCAGCTCCTGTCAGATTGGATTCACCTATTTCAGTAATACAGTAAAGCTTTGCAGTTGTTTAGTAGTACCAATATTAATAAAGAAAATTATCCGACATCGAATTCTTGGTCCTGCAGTCGGATTCTGAAATAAGCAGCCGGTCATTTGCCAGGGATAACTTGTTCAGCACAAGTCAACACCCTTTTAAAAAGTTTTATATGTTTTGGTCGACAAACCTTGAAGCTGCTGCCTCGTGGTGTGCTAATCAGTGTTGAAAATAGTTATATTTTTCCATATCATGCCAGCTCCTGTCAGATAGGAGAACCAGCACCGAGTCAACCTGGAAGTATTTAGCAGGTCTGTTAGGATAGGAAACTGCCTACAGGCTCTCAACAACATCCTTCATTACTTTGCTGCAGCTGAGTATAGCAATTAAACAAGCTTCCTTCATAAGCTACCCAGTCGACTGTTAGTGTCTCAAGCTATCAAGCTAGCAGTGTCAAATGGGGGGGGGGGGTACTTGTCCAGAAAAAGTGGATCTTTTACCATGGCTACAGGCCTGTATTTGATGGTCCAAGCACCAAGGACAAGGGATGTACAACCAGTTGTAGCTGTGGGCTAGCTAACTGACTTCTGAGCAAGAACTTCGAGGTAAAATACCAATAAAAAGTTGCCATTCCACCTGCTTACGTTTCCCCAAAGCAACTGCTTAGCTACTCCTGATATGGTTTGTTTCATTCCTTGTGAACTTACCACCGACGCATAATTGTCTTTTAATGACGGTTTGTAACCCCATTCTGTGACCAATGTAAAGTGTCCTCTTGAAGTGATGTTGTAAGTGGTTTTGGGGAACATTTCTAATTTACTAATATTTTATATATATTTATTTACGTATGGTTATTGTAATGCAGGCTGTCTTTGCTCATTATGAAAGTAGTTTTTGTCATGTTATTAAGTTTTAAAGGCCTTCAACATGTATCTAAAGTTTTTTTGGAGAAATGTGATGTTTCTTGAGAAAAAAAGCACAAAGTATTGCTTGACTCCTCCTTGCATTTGAATAAGAAGTTTTCAACACTGTAGTCCTGACAAATCAGAGTGGAATATTGACACAAGCTTCAGGAACTTGAAATGTTTTTTTTTTTACTTTTAGTGCCTGTATAATGTAAAACACAGCTTTGCGGGGTATTAACACATACTGTTATGCTTAAAAGTCTCTCCGGGGGCGTGAGTACAGAATAAATACGTACATAATGAATACGTATTCTCGCGTGACACAGCACAAGCACAATCAGTAGATATGATACAGAGTGATTTTAAAATGGGTACAGCAAACATTTACACCATGTTAACTGAATGTCATTGATTTAAATGAGTACTATGCAATAATGCCAATGCCTTTTCTGTAATGAAATATTCTTTAAACAGTCACCTGTTGTTATGACGACCTTGTATGACCCTGACATCTGGTAATCTTAGAAATAGTTTCAAATGATCGGCAATATGTAACTTAGCATGAATTGATACTTTAAACTTGTATCTGTGACACTGGGTTATAAAAACGTAGACATTATGGCATTTTGCCCGAGCGAAAAATGCCATGATCTTGAAAACAAGGTCATAACATTGACCTCTGTCAAAGTTCTTATATAGTTGTACCAATGGCCACTGAAGTATCGCTGTTACCATGGGTCAAGATGCATGCATACTTTGATAACATTAACTTACTCAATTTTTTACTAATAAACATTTATATTTAATCATATGGACATATAATCATCTAAAAACTCTTCACAATCTTTTAAAAAGGTAAATCATTGCACATCGTTGTTTGGTGCTATTCAGTTGCCAACTACTTCCTGGTTTTAACAAGGTCTATCGTTATAATTGAAGCACATACCATAAAACATCCAAAAATAATTAGATATGGGTATATCAGATTACATACATGTAAAAATCCCACATGGCAACGATTTAGGTCTACTGCCGCGCGGGAATTCTTTTCCCATGACGCTTTTTGTAGCACGTCGGTCGATGCAGAATATATTTCAAAACAAAAGGACTGCAAATTAAGGAAGATTTTGTACCTTCAAGAATCGTAACACGTTTTCATACCATGTACCTATTTTCCGCTCAAAATACCAAAAGAAAAAAATGATATCTCAATACATTGTTGGAAAAACTGCTTTTTTCTCTGAGTCAACGTCTTCACTCCGGTTCACCTCCAGCTAAAAATCAACACTCAGCTTCACGTCTTACATCACTACACGTCACTTCCAACACAATCCTGTTTGCTCCGGTACCCTCTACGTCAGTCGTCCCTAGTCACCCATGAACAGGCTCGGGTTGTCTATCAGATAGCATCATGGCCATTGCACCACTACGTGTCACTGAGTGATAACATCGTAAACTAACAAAAAATTTCCAGTATTATGAACAAAAAGCGTAGGAACAGAGGGACATTTTAAAATAGTTTTACTGAAGGGCTTTTCATACAGCATTACATATGATTTGCAAAAATATCTTCTAAAGAGAGAGATGCAAACGATTTGCAAAAATATCTTCTAAAGAGAGAGAAACAGACAATAACTTTACGTCTAGGAGCCATTAGCCTTGCTTTCACAGGATTGTCTATCTTCCCGGCCTAGAAAACACCGGGGTTCACATCAATAACTAAAAAAGCACTCCGAGAGCGCAGACCTCCGCCAAGGAAGCAATTTTTTTATTATTATTGATTATTGATTGAATATTGATCCAGATCACCACCAAAAACTAAAACTTCCTTGGCCCACTTCTGACAGTTCCTGAAAATTTCATTAAAATCGGTCCATAACTTTTTGAGTTATGTTGATGACAAACAAACAAACAAACAAACAGACCGACAAACAGGGGTGAAAACGTTACCTCCTTGGCAGATGTAATGAGAACCACCTGCAGAATGACGTGTTACTCACTTTGTATATCAGAACTTAGAATGAAATCTAATTAAAGTTACATGTGCATGTGACACTTACAGTGTATACAACAGCAAGGAATTTTTAAAGTCCCACCCACTCAAATTAGAAGTATAAAATAGTCTGGAAGTTATACGTATCACCACTACGAATACAGATACATCCTGCCGCAGGAAAAGTTTTAAAATGCTACCTTGTTAAGAAGAGAAGGGTACCCAAAGTAATTATCTAGAACTGATGCTACGGCAACGGAGAAAGAAATTCAATGTTATGAACCAAACAGGATTTGCTTAAGAAGGACACAGGTAGGGCCTACATTTAAAATATTTTACAAAAAGCCATTTCAAGAACCTTTGAATCAAAAGAAAGATCAAGTAGGAGCTCGTTAAATGCACATGTCAGACAACAAAAGTGGTGTAATGAAAGACCTAATTACACTGTACATAGCCAAGGTGTCATACATGTTGCTTTCACCTGTCTGCTTTACTTTCTAGCTGTAACTTTCTAGGGTTCATGTTTTAACATTATTAAAATAATGAAATTCAACTTTGAAGGAAGGCATTGTGGTTACCATGGTGATCTGTGGTTACCATGGTGATTGGCCACGAGGAGGTATTAAGATGCAGCCTGGAATTTTTTCTCCTGTCTGTTGGCTGTCTGTATTTTACATTAGGGTTAACATGTATTTATGCAATACTATGTGATCCATATCCATATTCGTACTCATGATTCAGAGTGCTTCATTTTTATCATTTTTATTATTCTTGATGACTGACAACATTCACTGGCTATGTAATAATATGTGGGCAAAGGGTCAATAGTATAACTGCTTTGATGCGTTCGTAACGAAGATGGCGACTGAGAAATACGATCAATAATATAAAGTGTCACATAAAATAAAACCACTATTTATAAAATAACTTATTCTACATCTACCACGAAAAAAACACATTATTGTCATATACATTTTATTGATAATGTGTTTTAAGCGACCCTTTAGCAACATAATATTATATAAATCATTTTTTTTTCATTTTTCGGGAATTGAACTGAAGCGCTGTACAAGTCCAGTCTCATTTATAAATTTGGCCAACAGAAGAAGTCACTCCCAAATTCCCATTAAAACAGCCTTTTAAGATATATTGACTTTACCAGACATACCCTAAATAGTCGTATTCTCAGCTCAAATTATCTGAATAGATAAAAATCTTTACTTAATTATTTTCCAGAAAATGCCTCAAATTTGACCTCAATTGACCTTTGACCCTATTTCACTGAGACATTATTCATTTTAACGTAACTTTCATTACTGATATATGTAATGTAATGCCTCAGCTACACAGTGGTGTATCGATCATTGTTACTTTTTATATAAATTTCAAATTATGATTTTTTTCCTACCCCCATTTTTAAACATGCACCCATTTATGTCACAGCGTGCTACCTGCATGCAACGCTTAAATAATTTTTTTTCGCTCTGGAAACACCTAGATAATAATGGTATCAAGGATTAAGAAAATGTATGTTTTCATTGTTTTTTACGGGGTGGCACGTGGACGCCTTGTTCCCATCGACAATCTGGTTTGTGTCCAGCATCAAATCTTGCCTCAGCAAACACATTTTTATGAAAATGTTTGAGATGTGCCCTGCTCTAATATTTTCCTTATACTGTGCTTCAAAATAAGAAGCCCTCTTACCATATACCTATATGATTCCAATGGATTAATGTTTGATGTCTCAGTTGTTCTTTAGTATAATTTAAGCATAATTTTTTTTTTGCAGTAAAGGTCATCCTATTGGAAAACAACATCCCGAGACAGCCAGGACAGCAGAAAACAAATAAGCGAACCAGAGCAGCTATATCAAAGGTTACACGCCAATAGACAGTTTCCTTGGAGGTTGTGTGCATGACTGATACACGTGCTTCAATGTGACGTCACATCAACATCATGACGTCATACTGATCAGCGCAGCAAGTCATTGACACACATGGGGAAACGATAAAATAAAACATGCAATACTGCCTCATAACTCAGAAAGTTTTAAGCAAAACTATTATAAGTTGATCTTAAATTCAAGGAACTGATAAAGATCGACAAATATTAGTACACATGTATATCACTCACCGTCATTCATGGATTCGTTACCAATTGTCTAAATATATTACGCACACTCAGAAACCGAGCTTGTGAATAACCCAATATTTCGTCAAACGATAAACGATGATTTGATTAAAAATGGCGTCACAAAAAGATACCATCATGGTACCAACGGAGATTGAGATTGGCAGATATTTCACTTATCGTTAATTACAAAGTGTTTCAATATATTAAAAACTAAAATTATGAATTTCTTGCAAATGTTCTATTATTTCGTCTAACACTAATCCAGAGCTTCATGAAAATGGTGTCTTTGAAGGAAGGCATTGTGGTTACCATGGTGATCTGTACAATGCTCACAGCATCGACTTTCATCATTTGGTATGACATGGACGCTATAGCTACGAACATTGCTCGACTGAAAAAATATATATCTGTGCCTGACGAATCCAGATGTAGTGCAAGAAGTTCCACTACAGGAGGGAATAACACGAAAACAAACCAAACATCAATCGGTATAGGCTGTGCTATCAGCACCAAAGGATTTAATCCATCGTCAGTTTTGTCCACACATCCAATTTTTACAACGCTGATGCTAAGTTTCTGTGAGACAGCTTCTCCGGGTTACTCCTATAATATCTACATTAGCTACGATTACACGGATGCTTTCTTCAAAGATCAAAATTCGCGAGATAGTTTTAAAGGTAAAATTTTCGATATGGCCAAAAAGCATTGTACATCATCTTTACTTATGTGCGTGCATTTTGTTCGTTGTCCATTCGAAGGTGCTCCAGCCCATGCTCAGAATTATGCAATGATAGCGGCGTACAATGACTCGATGGACTACCTTTACAGAATTAATGACGACACAAAAATGGTGTCAAAGTCATGGACCGAAACATTCATCGCTGAACTCTCCAAGTTTAATCCACCAAATGTTGGCGTTGTCGGACCAAATCACCAAGGAGGAAACACAGATATTTTGACGTACGATTTCGTTCACAGGACACATATCGATATATTTGGGTTTCATTACCCTGCTGCTTTTCCCGGCTGGTTTGCCGATGATTGGATAACAGAGGTTTATAAACCCAGTAGAACTAAAAAAATTGATAACATAAAGGTTATACACACAATGGCAGTGGGCACCCGATATAATGTGAGAGTAGATTTGAAAACAAAATTAAAAAGTCAGGTGGAACACGACAAAGAGACATTGAACTCATGGTTAAAGAAGCAAGGTAAAAATCCATAGAGTCTCAGTAGAATTCCTATAGTGTCCATTCGAAGGTGCTCCAGCCCATTACCTTCGTCTATTAGAGTCCCATAGAGACCTATACTCGGTACGACGTCCTTTAGGACATTTTTGTAAGAGTTGTAAAGGGCCCACGTTTTCTGTATGGTGACTTGCAGGAGAATGTGGGTCCCTGGAGTCCAATCCTATACTACAACTCGCACTGTAGACGAAGATAATGTACACTTATTGACCAGTTGGAGTTTATTGTGCTGTCTGTTTGTCAGTTCACGCTCTGCAAATAGATATCTCACGAATTGCAGTGAGGATTTTCTTAAGACCCCATTTTCAGAGATTAGATCGATCTACTTTAGATCGACCTAACTCCCTGGGGGTTCACGCTAAATAGCTGTCAGCCGAGCGGACACGAAAGTTAATTACCCCCCTTACAGCTTGTAGTAGGCGGGACGGACATTTAAGCCGGATTATCTGACAGTAATCTAGTGAGACTCCCCACGGGGATAGATCGATCTAAAAGCTCTGGGAATACAGCCTTAAGATGTGATAAAAGTCTGTGATACTGATTAGGCAGAGTGGCTGGAAACTTAATGTTAATGGTAGAGGGAAAGTTTTTACATGTATTTTATATAAGTAATACTCTGGGATTCCTTACACCATTGATGGTGGCTCTTTTTTGTATGAGAAGTTTACAGATGTTTACCAAAGTTATAGATCTGCCTGTAGGAGAACTGTTAGCATATGTAATATACATTTATTCAACGTTAGTTTTTAAATCATCATACCCACCCAGACAGTTTCCAGGTTACTTAAAGTAATACATGTATGTGAAATTTATGTTGGAAAACATTTTGCTCTGCTTGCATATTAAGTGTTATAAATTGCTTATATTCTCTGAATTGAATAAAATACTAATGCTACTATGAAAGTTAGTTTGAATGTATGGAAATTAATTCTCCTCAATTTGAATTAGCGGTAATTGTGGAAAAATCGTGGTTGTTTAGAATAGGGTAATGACTTCATTTATGAAGATCAAACTCCAATATAACACCTGAAATAAGTAGGCCTACTGAGTTCAAAACTGTGACTGTGACTTACCTGTATGATGGAAAATGATACGGCTATCGATGTTGTAATGGATTTGGGGGCAGTCTCACAAAACTTTCAGAGACCTCAAAGGTTGCAAACAACTTTATTGTTGAGATCTAAATCAGCAAAACATTTCAAATTTACAGCCCTCTACTTCATAATTAGTCTGATGCACCCAAATCACTCTCATCTGTGGAACTCTGCCAGTCTTAGATAATTCGGACCTTCATTTTCCTCATTTATCTCATTCCTTGTTATATTTTGATCCAGCTAATAAATCATTCGAGTGGAAGAAACGTAATCAAATACCATGTGCAATGTGACCAAATACCGAATATCTGGTGGGGTCGTTTATGACCCCAACACATTTTGGTTCTATATAGTAGAATAACCATAAACAATACTAATGTTATAGTGAGAAATGACGACAGCAGTTTGGAGCTTTCGAACGTTTATTCACCGACTCCCTCTTCATACAACTTCACAAATATTTATACTCAATTTCTCCGTACTGATCACGCACTTACTTGTTTTCTTTTCCATTGTCTTTGCGTGATTACAAAATATTTTCCATTCGCATGTTGCAATTCACCATGCAACATTTCCTTATTAGGTAATCCCTAAGAGACTTGTTTTCAATTAAAGATATCTAAAATATTATTTGGATTACTCATGCTTGGACTTTATCCAAAACTCAGTTATCATGTGATAAATAGATGATCAAAATTAAAATATGTTATGAAATTAACCAATCACATTAACTGTTACTGACTTTGACCTTTTCCATCTTTTTCTGACACTAAAAACATGTTCTACACTTGTTGACTCTTGGAAAAACTTAACTTACACTCAATAACTCTTTGTCTTTTTTACTCATTTGATTCCGCTTTAATTGTTTTCTGTAATTAGTGAAAGTGTAAGTAATTTGCTTTACAACACTAAGCTGTGAACTTATCTCCTGAAAGATGATACAAATGTGACAAAATCATAAAATTCCATGTAAAAAGAACTTATAATAAAAATTATGCTAACAGATATGCGCCTGGGGACGTTAACAATCCCACCCGGTATGAATAGGGTTAATGAGCTAATAGATCTAAAAAAATTGCTAACATAAGGGTTATACATACAATGGCAGCGGACACCACGTATAATGTGAGAGCAGTTTTGACACAAAAAATAAGGGCCAGATCGACAATGGCATAGCCTCATTGAAGTTATGGTTAAAGCAGAACAAAGAGGATGCGCTCTAAACATTTCAGTAGAAAAAACGTGCTACCTACATCACTAAAGGCAGTCCCACATAAAATTGCGTTAAGAAACGCCCTAGCTCAGGCATCATCATCTATAGCCAACTTTTCCCATTAAAGTTATTATTGTCTCAATACAACAAACGCACACCACCCCATATGACCTGACCGACGGGTTACCCCACCAGGTAAATAGAACGCCATGTTTACACAATGAGTTCAATGCTTTTTTCACAACAATCCTACAGGCATCAAGCAATTTTTATATGTGGGCCCCGAGTGCACTGATATCACAGGTATGTGACGACCCGATATGTCCGACAGGCCAGATATGTCCTACGACCAGAGAACAGGACAGATATGTCAGACAAAAAAGAGCCAGATGTGTCTGACAGGCCAGATATGTCCGACAAAAAAAGAGCCAGTTGCGTTCGACATATCTGGCCTGTCGGACATATCGGATCGTCACACAGGTATAACCTATATGCTTTAAATACACTGTACGGGTATAATCCCCTAAGCTTTAAATGGCTCAATTGATGTGTTGTATGACTTATACACAATACACCATTGGTTAAAACATTTGTCTGACCTCAAATTCAATTTGAATCTTCACAAGTCAATTTGCTTTTCTTTTTTACAAAAGACCATGCACCTCACATGATTAATGGCACAAAGAATACAGGAGGTGAAAATATCCACACTTCTTTAAAAATAGACCCATCAGTTTAACAATAATCGAAAAAATAAATCCGGATCAATACAGTTTTTCTTGAGTGGCTTACAGTGCACATTGTAGGTTGCAGCTTACGTGGGCTTACATAAACGATTTTTTAGTATATCGATATCTGTCTCTAGCTGCACTCACTTTTATAATATTTCGTCATACGTGGTAGAGGGGTAGTTTATATCCGTGAGGTTGACGAACAAGATCCAGGGAAGGTAAAAATCTTCTGATTCTGGCGACGAGCATGACATGAAAACTTGCTGAGCCGTTAAGACAGGTGAGCAAAGGAGGGCGTTGTCGCCATAGTGTTCACCTTGCAAAGATGGCGTACTAGGTCACCATTTCTGTCTAAATTACTCGCTGTAGCTCTCCAATTTGGTTTTAGATAAGACACACCCTTGCCATGGCCAGAATCACGTCTCGACCTATATTTCGTGTATTTTCGGCCACTAATACCCTTGATACCAGAAGACGTTTTTATTCCCGCACTTGTGCTATTTTAAAACGTGACCTGGGGAGCGCGTTGTTATCCCGCCCGTAAGTGTGTCAGTACGTCCGTCCGTCACCTGTTTAACCATAAGAGACAGGTACGTGAAACTTTGAAGGTTAAGAGGCATATCACAAGGGATAGGCGCGGGTCCTGCATAATTTTAGTAATACTGGGGGTGGGGTTGTCCCCGGGTATAGATGATTCTGTTTTTCACATTGACCTAATTTCCTTCATCTTCTCTGAGAGCCATTTACGGGAGGGACTTGAAACCTCGGAGATTGATAATCTATCATCTTAGATACATGTAGACTCTTCTGAATCATAGTTTTACTGGGGGTGGGGCTGTCCCCAAGGGTGGATGATTCTACCATTTTTCATAATGAAATGTCCGCTATATTCTCTTCGACCATTAATGTTGAAACTTTGGGGATCGATAGACCTTCATCGAGTATGTACATAGGCAATTAGTATACAGGTACAGGTGGATGGGGGGGGGGGGGGGGGGTGCTGTTGCTGGCGGTAGCTGACTCTATTTTTTTCTCAAATAAAAATTTTTCGTCGGTAGTTAAATAGCCATGAATAAAGCCAGATCTTTTCATCAGGCACCTTGACAGGTATAAACACGCCTTAAATGGTATTATAGCACTTGAACAAAGTACGGAAAAGGGGTTTGGGGATTTTTCTTTAAAGAATTACTGTTGACTTTATCTGTAAAAACGTGGTTTATAGCCATATTTGAGTACAGCCTCACCTTAATAACACGATGTCACTTACTGTCATTTCTAAAATCTGAGGCCGCGTAAATGTATAATGAAAGATGACACCTAACTACGCCTCGAGTTACAGTGTTTGTTCTTTCTGTACCTTATCTAATTTTTACCGTGCTTTTACCATACTATTAGTAAACAGCAGATCATATTGCACTTCCTGCATGTGTAGTGGAATAGACGTCTAGTGTTGTATCTGCCCCAGTGGTACAAGGGCGATGGTGGGGGGGGGGGGGGGGGGGGGGGGGGGGGGGGGGGGGTAGGGAAGTTGTAGAGGAACAGGTGACTTTTTTATAGGAAATTTGGGTCAAAATTTGGGTCGAAACACCTGAACTACAAATATATATTAAGGCCGTAAAATCCACCATATTTATATGGAATGGCAAAAAAAGCGTGTGTAATTACTTGTTCTATATATTTTTACACGGTGTATTGAATAGGATTGGGTGAATCGCAGAGTTTTGTTTAAGAGATATTTTTCTGAGGCATAGTTTCATACACAACTTACAGCTGACATTTTGTTTTCAAAACAATCATTTAGGTTGGTAAAATTGTGATTTTCAAAATGGCAGACAAAATTAGTGCCCTATCGCGAAGTAAAAGGGGTCAAACGTTAAATGAGGTCAATTTGAGGCATTTTCACACACACACACACACACACACACACACACACACACACACATATAGTTTCAAATGATTTGAGCTTAGAATGTGTTTCGTAAGGGCATGTTTGATAAACTCTCTATATATAACAAGGATTTAATGGGGTTGGGGAGTAAATTTTACGGTAGACATGGTTGATAACTAGTTTCTTAGAGAGGCTCAGTGCAATGAGGAGAAAATGGGAAGAGGGAAAAGACGTCATTCATCAAATGGAACTTAAGTAAGATATAACCATGTCCTATATGTCATTGTGTGGCTGATGGGTTTCTGTAAACATACAACTATTAAGATTAACGTTACACTGAATGATGTCTAAGAAAAGGTCAATGGGATCAAATTTGAGGCGTTTTCAGTGAAATAAAGCAATACAATTTCTTTATTCAGATAATAAGAACCTACATATCGGGTATGTTTGGTTATATATTATTTATAATTTTATTTCAATATTATATTTTTAAAGAATTTATTTACAGTGGGTGACCTGTATGACTGATTCAAATACAAATGCAGAGGAAATCGTTTATAGTAGCGAATCTAAGTAAGATATAACTATTATTTATTTATTTATCATGGTGTAGCGAAAAGGTTGTTCTTAAAATCTAAGTAAAAATGTTTTTATGTAAGATGGAATGATGTCTGTCTAAAAATGTAGTCAAAGGTCAAATTAGCTCATATCTGTGCATTTTCAGGGAAAAACGAAGTCCTTTTTAACAGATTTTCCTGGAATATGTTAGTTTAGGATTTATTCTATAATTGGTTTAATGAGGTTTGGGCAGGCTAGACTTATAACTGATAGAAGTAATCCAGAGGAATTCAGTTCAAATCCCCCCCCCCCCCAAAAAAAAAAAAATAATAATAAAGAAGATATCACCTTCTGTAAAACTCATTTCCCCAAACCCATTAAATCCTTGAAATATACACAGAATTTACGAAATATGCCCAAAGAAACATTTTCTAGGACACAAATTATCTGAATAAACAAACTTCAATGGCTCATTTTCCAGAAAATCCCCTAAATTTTACCTTTAGTCCGTCTTTACTTAGCAATATTTCCATGTTACATGCCTTTTATTGTTTATGCGACTCTTCAGCTACACAGTGGTGTAAATTTCATTGTTACATTTTATTGTAATTCCAATTTACGAATAATTTTCTCCCGATACCCCCATTTTAAATGCGCATATTTAAGCCACAGGGTGTTAAATAGAATTACAATGAACCCCTCCCTCCTCTGCTTCCTTTTTTTTTTTGCTCTAGGAAATCCTAGGAAGCAAGGATTTAGAAATTATATTCCCCAATGTTTGTTACGTGGTTGCACGTGGACCCCCTGTTCCCATCAAGAGTCTGTGTCCAGCACCAACCTGTTAATTAAAATATTACATTTTTGAGATTTAACCTACTCTGATATGTTCCTTTTTACGATGTACTAAAATTAGTAGCCCCTATAAGCTCACCATTCCACTATCTGATTCCAATAGATTCATTTTCGATGCCTCAATCGCTATCCATTATTTAAGTGCCAAATCTTATTTTGCAGTGAAGATCATCCAATTGGAATAGAACCAGTTTATAAGAGGAAACAACTTCCCGACTTAGAACCAAGGCAGCAGAAAACTAATGAATGGACCAGCGCAGCTACTTCAAAGCTCACGCGCTATTTGACAGTTTGGAGAACGTGAGCATGACGGGTACATATTTTTCACGGTGACGTCATATCAACATCATGACGTCATACTGTTCAACGCAGCAAGTCATTGGTGCACTTTGGGAGATGATGCCATAAAGACTGCAATACTGTTTAATAGATTCTTTATCTGTTGTTTAAATATATAACCCTCACTGAAAAAGTTAATATATATCTATTATCGACGTTTTATATTTTAAAATGATGTCTCCAAAGGTTTCTGTGGTGATTTGTATTATAACCACAACACCGACTTTCAATCATTATTTATGGCATGGACATTAAAAACATTGCTCTACTAAAAGAAAATAGACTTAGGGTTCAGAATAAGATACCAGAGTTTAATGAAAAATGGCATCATTGAAGGAAGGCATCATAGTTACCATGTTGATTTGTGTAATAATCACAGCATCCACTTTCATCATCATGTATGACATGGACGTTACAAACATTACTCGACTGAGAAAATATATTTCTGTACCTTCCGTATTCAATGATAGAGAGTTCACTATAGGAATGAAAGACACGAACAAAAAATATATATGCATCGGCATTGGTTGTGCTGTCAGTACCAAAGGGTTTAATATGTCGTTGGTTTTGTCCACACTTCCAGTTTTTACAACACTGATGCCAAGTTTCTGTGAGACAGTTTCAAAAGGCTACTCCTATCATTTCTACATTAGCTACGATTACACGGATGCTTTCTTCAAAGAACAAAATTCGCGAGATAGTTTCAAGGCTAAATTTATGGACATGGTCAAAAAGCTTTGCTCATCGTCTATTCCTATATATCTGCATTTTGTTCGCTGCCCATGCAAAGGTGCTCCAGCGCATGCTCAGAATTATGCAATGATAGCGGCGTACAATGACTCAATGGACTACCTTTACCGAATTAATGACGACACAAAAATGGTGACAAAGTCATGGACCGAAACATTTATCTCTGAACTATCCAAGTTTAATCCACCAAATGTTGGCGTTGTTGGACCAAATCATCAAGGAGGAAACACAGCTATTATGACGTACGATTTCGTTCACAGGACACATATCGATATATTTGGGTTTCATTATCCTGCTGTTTTTACGGGTTGGTTTGCCGACGATTGGATAACAGAGGTCTATAAACCAAATAGATCTAAGAAAATTGCTAACGTAAAGGTTATACACACTATGGCAGTGGGCACCAGATATAACGTTAGATCAGATTTGGCAACAAAAGTAAAAGGTCAGGTGGAACACGACAAAAAGACATTGAACTCATGGTTAAAGAAGAACAAACTGTGATGTATGCTGAAACTTTAACGTATTATTCATAAGCCAGGACATAGATTGTTCCAGCGACTCCGGCAAGATGAGGAATATGCCAAGCTTTCCTCAAGGGCTCCATTGATTCCATACTTGCGAAAGTTAGAGGAGAACAAAAATGAAATGTCAACAGAGACATGGGGAATGGTGAAATGGCAGGAGGACATCCCATTCCTGGCATCCCATCCAAAATGGCAGACTGTATGACTTAAGGGCATTAATAGGGTAAACTACGCTTAAAATCATGTTTTCGAGTTTTTTGTGTGTTTATATTAATCAAAAAAGTATTTAACGTAGGATGTAATAATTTTTTGAATTTGCACCGCAAAATGTGTCTTTTGATGAGTTTTTTAGATGACAACTAGCAATTGTTCCATCTGATCGTATAACCGATAACAGGTAAATTTGCCAGCTTAGCATTTGACTAAAAAGCTCTGTTAACCAACCTGTGAACGTTTTTGGCTGTTTTAACAGCTTTCTATATTGACGAGATAAGTGAATCGCTGTCAAGTATATCTCACTATCTGAGCAACCGATCGTTACAAAAGGTGCACTAATTGTTGTTGGGAATGTGGACTACAGCCTGATGTCAGGGGTTTTAGAGGAAATTGTTTGTTTGAAAGTTATCGTCTTTTGAAGTGAATTACCCATTGAAATATGGGGTAATTTAACGTAGAAGATGATTTAATCAAAAGTAAATAGTTTAAGACAATTCCCTGGTACCCGATTGAAGTGCTTTCACCCAGCTTTATGAGGCCGTTTGAATCACTTGAATAGCTGTCTTGGTTATAGAGAAGATCCCAAATCCGAAAACGGCATTTTTCGCCCCAAATTGGCGATATAGCGTCATCCGCTGGACACTGCACTTAATCTCTGTCTTAAATTGGCCTTTTCGGAAGTATGTTTTAATTTTTAAAAAACGTGTAAGCCCAGGGCATTGTTTCTATGCCTTTGGTCGTTTTACTATTAGTGCCCTTGATTCATTCCTGAAGTGAGCACCCGACCACCTGGCCAGTGGCCTCTTTCGAATATCCTATTTCTACGGTGCTTATTTGTTCTATCTCAAACGCTGGAAAATGGTGACTTCATACGCTCAAGGTTGTGTGTATAATCAATTTCAAAACGATACCCATGCGTATCTCTTCTACGCTAGAAAAGACAGGGCCTCAACGAATACTTGCTTGGAAACTAACATGTGCGTTACTGTACGTCAAAGATACAGAAATAGTTTGTATATTTTGGTTATATAAGACCACTGTTAGACCACTGTTAATGACTCTTTTTTTGTGTAAGAAGTTTACAGATATGACAAGCTTACAGATCCAAGAGAATTGTAAGCATATGCGCAGTGCCTTCATTTTATATTAGTTGGTAAATCATCTTACTTCTCTAAACAATTTTCACGTTAGTATTAATCATTTGTTAAATTTATGAAAGTTTCCCTTCAGAATCAAACATCAAGCATTTTATCCTGATATATGAACATACGTCTAAAGCCTATCATGATCTCAGCGAATTGGAATCTATATGGTTGATGTTTTCCCAAATGTTGTCATGAAAATTTAAAAGTAATCATTAACTGCCACCTAAAAATATCATCAGGAAAGAGCAGTTTGTAATGTAGTTTTTTTTTCAATATAAATTTCAATATACATGTAGCTTTGTTGTCTACTGAAAACCGCAATCTGTAACATATTATAAATCTGATTTAGTAAAATAAATGTTTCATGCCATCATAAAATTATCTTTATAGTAACATCTGATATCGTTATAATTGATATGATGATATTTCTCAACCCTGCACTGTAAAACAGTGTTTAGCATTTAAACACGTACAACACACGTTTAGCACCTAAACGCATTTAGAAATATGTGTAAAAGCTAAACACGTATAGCTTTTCAAGCTTCTCACAGAAGAAAATGCTTAACATTTTAGCAGTGTTGCACGTTTAACTGCTAGGCCCCTTCAGGAATGGCTCGAGTGGAGGCTGGCAAATCATCAGGGCATAAGTCGGCACTGCTTTTAAGTGGGTCGGCCATATTTGATCGGATCGGCGGTCCTGCTTGGCCGCAGATCAACCTGTTCTGAATGCGCTCTAAGACTGGGTTCCCACAGATTTAGTTCGTTCCATCTGGATCGACCTAACTCCCTCGGGGTTCACGCTAAATTGCTGTCAGATTCTGGGAGCTGAAAAGTTAACTACCCCCTTACAGCTTTTAGTGGGCGGGACAGACATTTAAGCCGGTTAAGCTTACAGCAAACTAGTGAGACTCCCTAGGGGTATAGGCCGATCTAAATATCTGTGGGAATGGTCTCTAATAGATTTTAGTAAAAAGAGCATATGCTGCCAACACCACTTAAGACAGAACTTTATATTTTAGGTTGCGGCGTTAAGAACACGTTCTACTTCAGGCGTCGTCATCTATAGTCACCTTTTCACAGTGAGATCAGGGGGCCATTCAGAAAAAGAATAGGCGAGTGCTAGCTGGTCCACGGCTTAAATATGGCGGACCTACATGAAAGGACGACCGCTTAATCCTGTAATGGTCTCTCTGCCTCTCACACGCCTTTCCACGCGCCGTCCCTGCAGGGACACAGTAATTAAATCTCGGCTCAGTTCAACCGGTAGATGGACGACGCGTGGAAAGGCGTGTGAGAGGCGGGGAGACAATTAAAGGTGCTCTTCCTTTCATATAGGTCCGCCATATTTAGGTCGTGGCCTAGCTAGCAATCGGCTCTTCTCATTCTGAATGGCCCCTATTATTGTATCTATAAAGCAAACGCACGCCACCTCATTTGACCTGCTACCCAACTGACTGGTTATCCCACCAGGTAAATAGAACGCCCTGTTTACTCTCTGAGTTCAATGCCTTTTACAACAAACCTATACGCATCAAGCGTTTTTTGTACGTGTGCGCTAATATCCCAGGTATAACTCATTGCTGTATAATACACTGTACGGGTGTAATCACCTCAGCTTAAAATAGCTCAGTCGATGTGTTGACCTCTTCTGCATCAGTCATGTATTGTACGGCATAATACACAAAAAAATTGTCTAACCTCAAAGGCAATTTGCTTTTCTTTTTTACAAAAGACCATACACCTTACAGGTGTGTATTGTTATAAACAGTGCTTTTTCTTTCAAATATCTAACATGGTTCATGGTACAGAGAATACAGGAGGTGAAAATATCCACACTTTAAATAATAATAAACCGGGATCCATACAGTTTTTCTTGAGTGGCTTACGATGCACATTGTAGGTTGAAACTTAAGAGGGCTTACATAAAGTTTTTTTTTAATATATCGATATCTGTCTCTACCCGCAATCACTTTTATACGAGGGCAGTTTATATCTGTGAGGTTGACAAACAAGTTCCAGGGAAGGTTGAAAAAATTCTGATTCTGGCAACGAGTATGACATGAAAACTTGCTGAGCCTGGAAGACAGGTGAGTAAAGGAGGGCGTTGTCGCCATAGTGTTCACCTTGCAAAGATGGCGTAGGTCACCATTTCTGTCGAAATTACTCGCTTTAGTTTGTTTTTTAGATAAGATGATCGACACACCTTTACCAGAATCACGTCTCGACACATATTCCGTGCATTTTCGACCTTTAATACCTTTGTTACCAGCTGATGTTTTTATTCCCGCACTTGTGCTATTCATAAAACGTGTCGCGGGGAGCATGTCCTTATCCCGCCCGTAAGTCCGTCTGTCTGTCTCCTCTTAGACCATTAGAGTTAGGTACGGAGAACTTTGGAGATTAAAAGGTATATCACAAGGGATGGGCGTTGATCCTGCGTAATTTTAGTTCGACTGGGGGTTGAGGTTGTCCCCGGGGAAGGATTATTCTGTTTTTTTACATTGACCTAATTTCCTTCATCTTCTCTTAGAGCCATTCATGCGAGGGACTTGAAACGTTGGGGACAGTTAAACCTATCTTCTTTTAAAATAGACTCTTCTGAATCCTAGTTTTTCTGGGGGCGGGGCTGTCCCCAAGGGTGGATGATTCTATTTTTCATATTGCAATGTCCGATATCTTCTCTTTGACCATTAAATGTTGAAACTCTGGGGATTGATAGACCTTCATATTTGTGTCATCGAGCATGTAAAGTGTACTGTGACGGGGCGGCGGGGGGGGGGGGTAGTTGCTGGCGGTGACTGGTTCGGTCTTTTTTCTCACATAAAGAAATTCCATCGGTACTTTTAAATAGCCACGCACGAAGGCAGATTTTTCACTTTGTTATTTCTGTATTTATTATCAACAGTCGGGACCCAAGCAGCTGCACAGATCTGTTTCCATGGATTGGCGTCCCTTGGGATAAACTGATTTTGTGATTAAATTTATATTATTTACAACTTAAATTTTTTGCATGGGTTTATCAATACATGATATTACAAGCAACAGTAATCGCTTTATGACGTTTGTTTTATACTAAGGAACGCTATTTAGGACCTTAGGACCCCAGGAGTGGGAATGTCTCTGGGGTGGGATGGATGTGTATTTTTTTTATACTAATATAATTCTTTCACCAATACCTTTAAACATCCCTGCAGGAAGATGGGCTTTATTTTATATTGTCGTTGAGTTCTTTATTATCAATAATCAAGTCACAGTCAGTGTCATAGATATGTAGGGAGTGGGGTCACCTGAGGGTAAGGGACGATTCCCAGGCTCTATCGTACTAACTTTGGATCGATCTATCTCCGAAGGGAATCTCGCTTAATTGCAATCAATTTAAGCGGCTTAGATGTCTTTCGCGCCTACTGAAGCTGCTAAGGGGTAATTAATTGTCGTTTAGCAGCTTTAGTAGGCGTTCCAATGTTGAAAAAAACATTTTGGTTCTGATTTATGAAAATTCCATAAAATATGACCTCTTGTAACCTCTGACCCATTATCAATGAACCTTGCCTAATTGTCACCCATCTTTCACTTATGAAGTTAAATGTCCCATCCCTTGCTTCCATAATGATATATGATACATTGATATATCTTTTACCGTCCTGATATTCTAAACACTTTCTTTCCCCTACCCCCATCTGAAAAAAAGTACTTGCTGCTGGTGGGGTGGGGTTATATAAGGTGTGATAGCACAAAAAAGCTACCAGATTGAGAATGCCATCACACATATTTGGACACTAGAGAAATACCTAGGCCCTGCTAAATATCACTATGAGAATTCATCCATTTTTTGATACTGACAAAGTGTTCGGTTCATGGCCTATATTCCCCAATGTTTGATACGGGGTTGCACGTGGGCCCCCTGTTCCCACCCAGAATAGCATATCCAGCATCAACCTGTCAATAAAAATATAACATTTTTAGATTAACCATACTCTAATATTATCCTTATTACAATGTACTAAAATTAGAAGCCCCTAAGCTCACAATTCCACTATCTGATGCCAATAGATTAATTTCGATGTCTCGATCGTTATCCATTATGACTTTAGTACCAAATCATTTTTTGCAGTAAAGATCATCCCATTGGAATAGTACCAGTTTTTAAGAGGAAACAACATCCCGACTTAGGACCAAGACAGCAGAAAAGAAATAAATGGACCACGGGAGCTACTTCAAAGTTCACGCGCCATTTGACAGTTTGAAGGCTGTGTGCATGACGGATACATATTCTTCACTGTGACGTCATATCTACATTATGACGTCATACTTTTCAGGGCAACAAGTCATTGGTGCACTTTGGGAGATAATAACATAAAGCCTGTGATACTGCATAAAAGATACTTTATCTGTTGTCTAAATACATAACGCACATTCAAAAAGATAAGTTAATAACTCGATTATCGACATTTTATTTTTTTAATGATGTCTCCAAAGGCTTCTATGGTGGTTTGCATAATAATCACAACTTGGAATTTCAATCATCATCTATGATTGGGACATTTAAACATTGCTCGACTGAAAAGAAATAAACTTTGAGTTCAATTTATGATTCCAGAGTTTAATGAAAATGGCGTCATTGAAGGAAGGCATTATGGTTACCATGTTGATTTGTATAATGATCACAGCATCTACTTTCATCATCATGTATGACATGGACGTTACAAACATGACTCGACTGAAAAAATACATTTATGTACCTTCCATATTCAGGAACAATGAAAGAGAGTTCACTATAGGAATGAACACAAAAAAGATATCGATCGGCATCGGTTGTGCTGTCAGTACCAAAGGATTTAATATATCGTCAGTTTTGTCCACACTTCCAGTTTTTACAACGTTGATGCCAAGTTTCTGTGAGACAGTTTCGAAAGTCTACTCCTATCATTTCTACATTAGCTACGATTACACGGATGCTTTCTTCAAAGAACAAAATTCGCGAGATAGTTTCAAGGCTAAATTTATGGACATGGTCAAAAAGCTTTGCTCATCGTCTATTCCTATATATCTGCATTTTGTTCGCTGCCCATGCAAAGGAGCTCCAGCACATGCTCAGAATTATGCAATGATAGCGGCGTACAGTGACTCAATCGACTACCTTTACCGAATTAATGATGACACGAAAATGGTGACAAAGTCATGGACCGAAACATTTATCGCTGAACTCTCCAAGTTCAGTCCACCAAATGTTGGCGTTGTCGGACCAAATCACCAAGGAGGAAATACAGCTATTATGACGTATGATTTCGTTCACAGGACACATATTGAAATATTTGGGTTTCATTACCCTGCTGTTTTTACGGGCTGGTTTGCCGACGATTGGATAACAGCGGTTTATAAACCAAATAGATCAAAGAAAATTGCTAATGTAAGGGTTATACACACTATGGCAGTGGGCACCAGATATAACGTTAGATCAGATTTGGCAACAAAAGTAAAAGGTCAGGTGGAACACGACAAAAAGACATTGGACTCATGGTTAAAGAAGAACAAACTGTGATGTGTGCTGAAACTTCAACGTACAATTTTCAAGAACGGATTTACAGGTTTAAAAATATGAATCAATGATAACTGCAGCTCATCATTGAAATGGAGCAGGATAACACGGCATTCGCGTCAGAGTAATTTCCTTATTTACTATAGTGCTTTAGGAGGTCCTCTAAGAAATAGGTTCAAAATCCCAAAGGATCCTTTTATATAAAACAAATTGGTCCTATGTCTTAATGGATAAATATAAGTTAATTGGTTAATTTGTTTGTGTGGCATGAACAGAGGATGTCTTAGATCAAGGCACATGTTATAATACTTACAGGTGTGGCAAATGAGATATAGTTGTATTTCATTATCTTTGATTTGTAAAATACATCTGAGGATGATACTTTTAATGATGTTTAATGTTTAAAGAAAAGACATGTAGACTGATTTAGTAACATTTACTAAAGAAATGTTAAGTTAAGGTGGGCTTCATTTGTTAGTGCGTTATTTTAATTATCTAGATTTTATACAGATTATAGGAAAAATTCTTCCCTTTAATGTTTTGTTGACCTTTTGGGAAAATATCTGCATTTTCTGAAGGATAACTTTGGGGAATTTTTTTATAGCTGTGCCTGCAAATAGAGCAAAGTTTTGCTATTAATTCACACTTTTCTTTGTAATTTATATATGTGTGTGTGTGTGTGTGTGTGACAAAAAGAAATAAAAAAAGCAGTTAAAATAACTGCTGTGTTTTTATTCCTTTTTGTCACATATATGTATACTCGTACAGGAAACACACACATACCACAGCACAAAAAGTCAATTTTCAGCTCTTTTACTCTTCAGGAAATGGGTTTGAATATTCTCTTTACAAGCCTTTTCAACGGTGTAAAACTCTACCGGAAAGGTCAGGGTCTACGGGTTTACTACCCTTTTATGCCTTAGCTTAAAATTGAAGTTGCACTATTACTACGTCTTTCCGATCAAGTATGCTGTGTGAGCATACTTTTTAGACACATGGTTTTGCCTTTTTTGGTGCCGTTTAGTTTATAAAGTTATTTTGATTATTACAATAAGCTATGTGGCGTATTTCATTAACAGAAATATTCAATTTGAATAGGTTATTTATAAAATATGAAAGAAATATGCATTATTCCACTAACAAATGAAATAATGATCATGATAGAATAAACTTTTGAAAAAAAATCTGGGTGTTGCTTAACTTATGAGCAGATCAGTGTATACACTTCCGCAATACTGGGTAACAACAATGGGTTATCATCATTGAAAGTCTTTCAACATATGTCTATGTGTTTGATTACATTGTGGGTGCTATTATGAGAAAGGGAATAGATTTGTCTTATTATAATTGACAATTTTGTGTTTTCAAACAGTGTTGTGTATTTTAAGCTTTTTAATACTTAGCCGCAAATGACACTAAAACAGCGCTAAATATGGGACACAGACAACCAGTCTGTCGTGCAGCTGTGTTGTCATGCTTTTGTCATATCAGGGATCATTTACGTCATACACACTAGAAAACAAAAATTGCTCTTCGTGTGTATATATAAATATATAAAAATCAAGCCTAACTGGTGTTCTCTTATCATCGCCGTAAGTTCAATTGATATCACCCCAGTCCATTTTAATTAGATTTAAATTCCCAGCTGTTCAAATATTCGAGATTTGGGAGACGAAATGAAAAGTGAAAATACTTCGCTACTTTAGTGAAACTTTGATAGCATTATAAGATGTTAGGACATGAAATGTGTATATGTACCTAAGGATGGGTTAAGATTTTTTTCCTTTTTATTTCATGTTATCTTCCAGTAAACTTCACTGCTCAAAACCACCCCTTACATTCTACTGGATACTCATTCCAGAATTAATTTATAAGTGAGAAATGTTTCTGATATTGTGCTTATTCTTTTTTTAATTGCGTTTAACAAATTGCTTATTTTCCAACGGGATGTTATCGTCACTTTTTCAATAATGTACAGGCCTCATAAACGATTATTGTCGAATGCTATTTTAACAAATTGCTTATTTCCCCACAGGGTATTAGCAAATGTACTAGTAGTGTCACTTTTTCAGTAATGTACAGGCCTTATAAACGATTAACGTCGTTTGCTACCACGAGCAGTAAATTTGGGAGCGCGAATTCCCAAATTAATTACTCATGCCACGATAAATATAACACATGTAGACCTAAAATTAGAATATACGAATACAGCGTTAGAGCGGTTCGCGTGTCGTAACGCTGTGCTTTTGACTACTAATTTTACTTTCCGAAAATCGGGTACCCTATTTCGTGGCTCGAGTCGTTAATTTGGGCATTTGTGGCATGAATCTGAGGTTTGACTTCGCCCACGCCTAATCCATTTATAATGCCTGGAAGGTGAAAGGTGCGTTCAGGTTTGAGATGAACCTACCCTAATTAATGTCTTCCTGGCATCGTCTGATGACCACTTTAATTCCTTAGTTTTTTCCATAACTGCAGTGTGCTGAAGTTAAATCATATCCTTTGGGAGAAAAGATATATTTGTTATTGCACCTGTGTAGAGGACATAATTTAAGGGCTCAGACAACTAAATTACTGGCAAATCTATATGTTTGAAACTGAACACAATTTATGCATCTATAGTGAAGATGGTATAGATGTGAAAATGCAGCACAATAGATATCAATCTCACCTATAACAGTTTGTGCGAAATCTCACCCGTTTAAAGGCAAGTGGTGCGCTCGAGACATTTTAAATAACAAAAAGAAAAAAAGCACATTTCCCTTTACCAGTAAGGTTTACCCTATGCTAACCTTTTTCATTGAATATAATTTTCAAGGTGCACGCTCGCAATTGAAATCCACTAGTTTTTATCTCCATTAAGTGAATGACTCAAACCTAGAAAATCGGAAGTTAAGAGGATTATGGACTGTTTTTTGTGAATAGTTTTGAATGACTTATACCTCTCGGTATTAAAGAAAATTTGTTTTTATACAGTGATCTAACTTGGAAGTCATAACAGCAAGGACAAAAGATTTTTGAATGTCGGCGTTACTTATGCATTCTAAGGTGTAAAAACGCCATGCACACATGGCCCTGGCCAGTAGTTTAAAAAAAGATGTCTTCTCTTAACACGCTTCCCCTTGTCTCCAACGTACTCGAATAATCACCAGCTTTTCTACATGTTATTGTTCGCCACAAGGAGGCGTTTTAATCTGTTCATCTGATTGCATTCAGCAAGAATTCCCGTAGAGTTAAATCGGTCTACGTGGAATAATAGTTCCATTTGGAATGTGCCCTTACATTTTAGAAAGAGCTACGTCAGATACCGTTTCGATATATTAAAGTCTGAATTGGGAAGGATATGTAGCCTTGAAGGACAGGTAGACAATATGACTGGGAAACTTTCAGTGTATTTTTAAATCAAATTGTCAGTTATCCAATGCTTTTGTCCAGGTGTTGTTGGTTATATATAAATCCGTTTTTCTTTTCAGTTCTTTTTCATACCCAGATTTGTGTTTCTTGGGTGTGATACTGGTTAAACATACACTGTACTTGGAATTGATTATGATGATTTTATACTTTTTAGCAGCTGGCAGATAAGACCATTCAAATTTATTATTATTTTTTGTTGTTGTTGATCAATGATAAAAGATAGTTCTTTGGTTCATTCAAGTTTTATTAACATGTAAAATTCATTCAAGATTACATACTTCACAAAGATATCAATGTGAACTGACAGGAACCATTACATCTATTTCAATATAAGTCACTGTATATGACCAAGACAAGATAATGTTCACATGCAATACAGTTTTACTCACATGTAGTCTCATTTCATCATAAATATAGTCTCTTGCCATTACATATGTTGACTTGCAATAAGCCACTGAACTTTACATACAGTTCCATACAACATATAATACACATTGAACCTTACATACAATTCCATACAACATATGATACACATTGCCACCTGTACCTGTAGATGTTGCCGTGCTGTAAATACAGGACCAGGTCAAAATTGAAAAAAAAAAAATTGACCAACTTTTCCATTTACAAACACAAATAGCATATTATGTTTTCCAAAAAAATCTAAAAAAATATTTTACAGATATTTCCTGAATCAAACTTACTACAGTTAATAAGTTTCATCTTCATAGATCATGTATCGAGCTAACTATTGACAAACTAATCCATGTTGAATTCTAAACATAAGCCAAACAAACTATCATGTGTCTCGTGGGATCCGAAAAGTTAATTCTGCCCTAAATACCCCAAAACCTTGCCTCAACATTTCCCCTGACCAAAGCACCGTAACATTTTCAAGTGATGCCCTCCAACAAACTAACAAAGCGCGGGGGTAAAGATGGTCATAGCTCGGTTTCTTTGATTGTTGGTACTTGTTCTTGTTTATTATGTCTGTGTCTGGCTACAGAAGTGTAGCGTGTCGTTGATTTTTCTTTGTTACCGGATAGCTTGACGTTGGTAAGTGTGTACAAATAGGGGTTGATAGCGGAATTCAACGGCATCACGAACACGGCTACCCAGCTTGACACTTGTGGTGCAATTGACACGTTGGCCATACTTAGAAACCCTAACAAGGTAACCGGGCCCCAGCATGCACAATCTGTTAATAAAATAATGGACACTTTTTTCAAAAAAATTACTTCACCAAAACCCTGCCGTCCAGATTGCTGTTGAGTCTTAAAAACGCTTTTTATTATACATATATACGCCCCTGCCACGTAGACAAAAGCGAAAAGAGAGGTTAATAAAAACATGGCGTACGCGTACTCACGACCACCAAAGTATACTTTGCTTATTGTAAAGGGTATACACACAGAATTATGACCATAGAATTTCTCGAAATATCCATTTTCGACACAAGGAATGATACTTGCGATAAAGCAAAAGGCCCACCCAACTGACACTAAAACGGAGGCTCTTTTCATTCCAATTTTTCGAAACGACATGCAGAACACAATGGCTATTATTCTGTCTGTTGTAATCAAAACTAATATCAGCATAGACATCAATGTTGAAAGCATGGTAAGGAACCCCGCAGTCTTGCATAACACACTATCTGTCCAGACCTCGGCATGAACAAAATACTCCCCACGGTAGAGAGTGTCAACCGTGGCGATTATGATCAAATATACACCCATAAGAAAATCAGAAACTGAGAGGTTAACTATGAAAAATATTTGAGGGGTCATTTTGTTTTCACATAGTCTATTCACAAAAACAAAAAGGTTCCCGACCAAACTAAGAATCCCCATAATCCAGACAGAGACTTGCAAGATCTTATCGTAAAGCAAATCAGAGCATGAGG